AAGTTAGGGGGGACCTGCACAATTCAACAATACATGCAAAAAATGAGTGTGTGGAAGTTGGAACACGCTCAAGCGAAATAAATGGAATACCATTGACTTGTTAACTTAATTACATACTCTGTTCCCTCATGGAAACACAAGTCCATTAACCAACTTTGGAAATCTTGTATCCTAGAAGCATCCTATTCAAGTTATTGAGAATGCAACAGAGAAAAGAAGACTGACCTTTTGATTTTACTTATAATCAGGAGCCCCTTAAATCCAAAACCTTAAAAAATATATATACATATATATATACACATTTATATATTACTAGCATGATTTGTATCTAATTTATCTCATTTTTATAATTTGATTAAGGACTAACTATTCTATCAATTAAACATGTTGATAAGAATAAGAGCATTAAACTTGCAGAATTCAGATTTCAGTCTTATTTCTGTTGCAGCTAGCTTGTTCTTCATTACTTCTAAATTAGATGCTCGAATCAAACAAACAAAACACCAAAATGATACAATAAAACACACATAAATCATAATTTAGCACACAAAAACGGAAAACAGATCATAACTTAACAATATCAAATATGTATAGGGGAAAATGATACTAAGGACAAACTAAGTTTATTGTTTATTGTGTTAGAAGATCAGGGACAGTGAAACTGCTTTTAATTCAACAAACATCCCATAAAATCATTTACTGTCAAAGGACATAAAACTTATGGCTATTTGAATTTCACTAAATTTTGTAATGAATTAAAGTCTAATTTATTTCTCTAATTTGGAAGCATTACGTCATACCGGAGTAAAACATGAACAACATACCATTCAGGAACTGCAGTGTGAGCAGAAAAGTTTTTCTTGGAAATATTAGTCGCTCCCTATTCTAAACATAGAAGCCAGCAACCAAGTCAAATATATTCACATACTTTAGCAACCTAATCGGCAGCCAGTCATACTCTCCATCTATTACCCATTCTGGGTAGAGTATAAGTTATCCCTGTAGAATTTCTAAGGCGTAATCACGAAAGTGGGACATTTTTAACGCTTTCTAGTGTAGTCTGTGTAGATTTCTTTCTTCTTCGTTTTTTTTTTTTTGGGGAACCTTCACTAAATAAGTTTGGATTTATGTAAGTTGCTAATAATTTGTGTATTAGTGATTGTATGAATTTAGATTTAGAAACCTTTCATAATTTTTTTTTTTTTATATATCTGATTATAAACTATATAAGAAAGGATAACCCTCTCTTATTCCTGAAACACTCTTCACCCAATTCAAGATTTGAACTTGAAATCTTCACCTTCAAATCTCAAACTCTTAACCATTGAGTCACCGCATTGGGGTTCCTTTCATTATGAAGCACTGGTTATGATGTTCTTTATTTCTTCTAGACATCTAGGCTACAGAGTGTGATTGGCGATCCAGCTAAGAACCAAGGTGCCATGAATCCCCCCAACACATCTTCGGTAAGGAATTCAAACCCTCTTGAATTATTCTTTGACTTAGAGATAGACAGTAGGTTTTCTCAGTGAAAGATTATAGAATAAGGGTTAGCTTGGTTTGGCGCTGTTTTGCCTCTTAAAAAGGTGTATCAGTTCAGGAATTTTGACTCAGCGATTGGGTTCCCTGGTTCTGACTTTAGCTTACATTTTATGTTACTCTTTACATTCTTGAACTTGGCTTGCAGTTTAATAATAGTAATAGAAAGAAATACAGGTGATGGAGTCATCAAAAGAAGAGATGCATATTTTTCTGAAAATTCATGAAAGATAGTGGAACTCTTTTTAGTCAAAAAAACTTTTTCCATAAAAGCATTATTATGAAAGGACATAAAGCTTAAGGCCACTTAAAAAGAAAGTAGGGTTAGAGTTCCATTACTTATTCCATAATGCAATTTGCATGAATAAAGCATTGCTCTATGTATATTGCTTTTGCATAACTCTCTTATTGTGAGTCACATACCATCTAACCAAAAAAGAATGTAGGGTTAGAGTTCCATTACTTATTTCAGAATCTAACACTATCTTAGAAGCACAAAAGTTTACCCACCACTCAACAAAGCAGAACGGTTCAAATCTTCTTGTTTCCCAGAACCATTATCTGATTTTAAATTATGAAAGTTTTGGAAACTAAGGCTCAACTAAATACTAATAAAACATTTGATAGAAGAGTGATTTGGTTTTAGCAACTTGGTACATTTACAGCCAACTCTTGACACTGTAGAGCAAAAGACAACCACCAGAAAACAGACCATTACTCAATAATATCAAATATGTATAGGGGAAAATGATACTAAGGACAAACCAAGTTTATTGTATTGACAATATATGGTTAAAAGATCAGGGACAGTGGAACTGCTTTTAGTCTAACAAACAAACCATAAAATCATTTACTGTCAAAGGACATAAAGCTTAAGGCAATTGACAATTAAGCTTTCATATATCACTTTCTTAATGTGATACACATGGAAATAATCTAGCCAAAAAAGGAAAAACATCTGGGGCCAGAGTTTCCACTACGCAGCTTTATAATTCATGATACCATCTTAAAGTTAATCCATCAAGGCACCAATCAACAAAGAATTAAAGCAAGTTCAAGAGCAGTTCAATCATCCTAAATGCTTTTGCTTCCTTGAACCCTTATCTGATTCCAATTATGAAAGTTTTGAAAATGAAAGGCTCCCTCTATGTACTAATAATTAAAACATCTGATATAAGAAAAATGAGGTTTCAACAACTTTGTATAGTTTTACAGCCAACAATTCTGTACAACAAAGACAACCACCTAAACAGACTAACTTAAAAAAAAATCAAATATGTATAGGGCAAGATGGTGCCAATGACAAAAAGGGAAGACAGACCAAGTTTGTTGTTTACAGTGGAACAGTCCAATGAACATCCCATAAAATCATTTCTGTCAAAGGTCATAAAGCTTAAGCTCTCACATCACCCTTTCAATGTGGTAGGAATGGAATCTAACAAAAAAGAAAAGATAAGAAAGAGAAACACGATATTATAGCATTTAGTGGCTAAGATGTTAAAATGCTGAAGGCTATCGACAAATAATTAAAGACCAATGGGACCCGTTCAGATTAAATAAACACTTCATCAGAAGGTTTGCAGATGTTGTTAAAATACAGCGTAAAAGAATTGAAGGCTATTTTGCTATTAATCCATTAAATTAGCCTCTCTTTCCAAGACAAAGTTAAGAAAAAATTCCATTAATAACGTTCTCATGTGAAAGTGGTCATAAGCATTACATTGGCCCCCTTCATGATAATATTCTGAATTATGCCACTTTCCATACCTATTTTATATTTCTGCAGTTTGCCTTTGTCACCGATACTAAATTATCCACTTTAGTCTTTAGATTCTCGAAAGATAAAAAGAACAAGCAAATAATTCATTATCTTACAATGACTCAGGCCCCTAGGGCACAATCAAGTGGTTAAGAGCTTCTATCAAATTCAAATCTTAAAATGGGCTGAAAGGGTCACTTTTGTAACAAACAAAAAAAAGCAGAAGTGGATTGCTCGCATTGTTGTTTTCATTGAAATATTGAACTTGCAATAAACAGACGTAGCACATAACATACCCACATCACAGAGAAAGCAACAGCTTACATTCAATGCGAACCAGCAGCCATTTTAACTCAAAAAAACCTGAAAGAAAAAAAGTTGAAACCCCATGAGTTTTTAGAATGTTAACTGAATTATTTACAGAAAACAGAACTGATCATCTGGTTTTGTTATTTCTGGGGATGAAAGAAACAGGGGAAGAGAGAAAAGAAATTACCCGTTTGATTGACGAGTCAAATCTCAGACTCTCCACTTCCACCATTTTTGTGAATTGTGAGGAAAAAAGGGTTGACTGTAACTTAACTGTTTAATTAAGAAATGTAAAAAAAAAAAAAGAGAGAAAAAAAAAGAGAACCACAAATTAAAATGCCACATAGGAAAAATATAGTTAGTATATTAGTTGCAATTGCTGATGAAGCATCACCATATGCCCAGTTTTTTTTGCTCTATTGAACTCCTCTCCATTTACAGCAATCGTTTTTTACCTCCTTCACTTCCCCTATAAGGCAATCCAGTCCTGATCAGGCTTGTCTTTCCCTCTCCATGCAATAAACTCCAGCATCTGCAGTTGTTAAGTTAATCCAACAGTAGTTTTCTTGTGCAGTAGAATCACAAGTGCATATACAACTTGAAGGAACCCTCCATCAGAATCCATCATGATGTCAAAAATGATGGCAGTGAAGCCAAGATAAAGATTAATGAAACAATTTTAATATCATTTGTAATGATGTTCTCCACCAGTACCATTACTTATATCGCTCAATTTATCATGTATATGAAACTTGAAAATGAGGATCAACCAGACCTGTTCACAGTTTGATACTTAAAAGAAAAGAAACAGAGAAAAAGAAACTGTTTATGGAGGCACAAAAAGCACATGAAATGAATTGAAATGCTCAGGTAATAGGATAGTAAGAAGTTTCCTAACATGTACTACGGAAGAATTTTTAACCTATCATTCAACAGAGCATAAAAATTATACACTACTAGTAGATTACTAATTCAATTTTTAAAATAAAAAGAATGTATATTGAAACTTGAGAAGAATAAGAGCCTCAGAGTTTCTGAAATAAAAAGCCTGAAGAATTCAAGGTTTTCATCTTATTTAAAGAGCATGCAGCTTGTTCTTCATTCCTTAAAAACAAGATGGTGAAATTATCATACATAACACAGAGATGATGCCATAAAACACAAAACAAACCATAATGT